AGTACCCGGAGAGAAAGAAACGAGAACAATTAGAGAGAAATATTCAAAGGTCTATGTACCTTTTCACCTGGCTCTTTGTCCAAAAAATAAACTAAATGAAAGGAAATAATTTATATGGATATAATTTAGGGATTCATTTGGGTAGAAATTAAAGAATGTTTAGTATCACCTCTTGTGAGCTGGAAGAAATAAAATATTGATAGTAAAGGGATTTTTTTATGCTTGCATGAGGATGATCAGCCACATAGTTTATTAAGTAGTGAGAGCAGAAAGAGCCATAGTTCTGAGAGCTATCCATTGGAGTGGAGTGTGAAGCGTCGAGTCAGCGCTACGCTCGTGCAAAGACATGTATCTGCACAAGCACAGATGAAAGATCAGAACAGTCAGTACCGGTTGTCAGCGCAGTACCGGACCAATCCGGATTATTTTCTCAGACCCTGCCGCTGCTGCCACGATGCATCTGAGGTCATGCAGAATGTGTAGCGCTGCACGCCAGGTGCCAGGATCAAGCAAGACACAGCAGCACAGCTGATACTGCTTAGCAGATTACAGCATGATGATGCAGTTTAAACGTCTGACCGACCACCTGCTAATTTTTAAAGTCTAGTCTCGTCTCGTTAACGAAAACTCAAACCAGTGACTAGTCATGTTTTAGTCATCAAAGATCCATGCTTAGCTCGTCAGTTTTCGTTATCGTCATGAGCATCAACGAAATAATTTCGTCACTGTTGATGAAAACAACTCTGGTTTCAGCTCTGAAAAACCTACAATGCAGTGATAGAGTTAATTCCTTCCCGCTATCATTTAAACCCCCCACCTCCATCAAGGGGAAAAAACATCTCGTCTTGGCAGCCAAGCCAACAATTGCCCCTAATGACCCCCCTTTCTGAGGCATAGCCCATTATCGGTATTGCAGGCTAGCATAGAACCCGAAACAACTCCCCATTCCCAAGGGGCGGACCCATTCTGATGCAATTTGCAAGTTTTCTACTGTAAGCCAAAGCAAGTTTTTAGGCTACTATATAAAACTTCGAACAAAATGGTAATTTTGACATTTTGAATTGGAAAAATTTCCTGGAAGGAAAGCGAAATGACTTCAAACTTGTAAACCAAGTTCAGTGGATTGTTCTTTAACTTTGTTGGAATGACTATGACCTGGATGACTGAGAATCTTCTTAAAAAATCTCGATTTCTTAATTAAATAAAGGCTCGTCAGGACGTGCTTCGACTGTCTTGCTGACTATCTTAATTCATAATATATAATTTTGTTTTAAAACTTTAAGCCAGGATAAATGAATTTAATATATTACATCCTTGTAATTTACCTTACTTACCTCTGACTTGAGGAATAGCAGCTGCAGTTCCAAATCTTTGTATGTTTGTTTTAGTCCATCAGTGCCAAGTGTAAAAGTATTGATCGCTCCATTGAATGGATCGCATTGTCTTTCATTTCTGAAACATTTTCAAATCAGTCATTGCATCAGTATTCAAATAATTTAATACCCCTGACACTGTTCTGCATTAGTGGTGCAGTTCAATAGTGTACCAACATAGAAACCTTTATTCATCACTGTTTACCAGTACATCGTACCAGGAAACTGTTTGTGAAGGAATCTTTGGATACATATATAATTTCATGGTATGACTGTTGTTACTTAAAGATGCTTCACAGATATAACACCTTTATAAATTTCCACCAATAATTTTATAACAATAATACTTAATCTGAAGTTGCGCTATGCATGAATTCTGTTTACAGATGATACAGATGAAGATTTACACACTAAAAACAAGACAGTCTGACTTATATCAGCTTTTTTTTTCTTATCATGTGACTACTTGGGCCACTCAAAAACACTGCTTTTTGGTTAAGCTTTCATTTTAATGATCATTAGGTATAGAAAAAAAGGATAATGTCACCCCTTTATGTAAAACAAAATGTTTTGATGCAATTATAAACTTTTCATTATAATATATGCATTGTCAAAAGTGGTTGTGCATTAAAACAATATTAAAGCAATAATTAAAACTAGAACTTTAGAGAATTTCATTTTTAATGGATGAACTTGTTTATGTATTTGACAGCGGGGGGAAAAAAATTGGACCAGGGGTATTTTCTAATTTTTCACATCAATGTTGGAACCCACAATTTGAAAAAGAGATGGAGCAAGGACCCCTTGCTATATCCTACCCTGGAAATAAAAGGGAACATCATTGTTTAAGTATTTAATTGGAGGAAAGGACAAAGGTATTAACATTTGAGGTGTGGTTGAGATGCTGACAACAAAGATTTAACCTGTTACGCTAAGAGGGTTTCGACTAAATTCTAATTTAAAACAACATCAGTCACTCTATGTGCAAACTTTTTTTACATGTGTAATAGTATAAAAGCTTTCTCTTCTAAAGAAATTCACCCCCCCATCACAGTACCTCTGCAACCCGTGCAAAGACCACTGGGTTTAGACCAAAGATTATTCATTATTCATGATTGTTTTTTTAAGATTATCCAAGTGGCAGAGTCAAAGTCCAGAACTAAACTAACTGAAAAACCTGATTCTAAACTTGAAGATTGCTCTTTACAGATGTTTTCCATCTAATCGAGCTGAGCTTAAGCTATCTTACAAAAATCACTGGAAAAGATTGTAACGGAAGTAGATAAACTGCAAAAAATACTTTCACGCTGTATACAAAATTGTAAATCATACACTTATTCGTTTAACGTCGCACAAATAGGCTTCTTTTTGTTGGTTGATCCAAAATCCCACCTTTACACAAGCAATTGCAAAAAGTTCAAAAGGTATGAATATATTTTTAAATCACTTTAACGTGCTTATGAAGCTCTTACGGAAAGGTTTCTCTGAATAGCTTGTCAATGCTGTCAGTCAGACGGGAGGTTAATTTCATGTTGAGGTTTATTTCTTTCCCCTTTTTAGGTTTCCAGATGCCGCCATTCTCTACTGCTTTTTTCAGCTGACTACAAAAACCCCGACCACTCTTACCCTAAAAGGAAGCACATAAAGAAGAATAAATTTATAATTATTACAAGGAGGTAAGGAAACATTATACAATCATATACATCTTAAATTTACTTCCTTAATACTATCAGAGAATTACCTTGGGATATAGAGCAGACTTCAAGATTTCTTTACATGAGCTTTTGGATTTCTCAACTCCTTCTTGAAGGTGTTTTTCAAAAGCTGCGTGAATCTTATTCATTTCATTTATGACTGACTCAGTTTGAAGGCTTAGGTTTTTGTCAAGAGCTTCACGCACTTCTTTATTTTTGCCATTCTACATAAAATATGAAACAAAAGACCTATGTTAGCAGTTGTTCAAAACTAATCTAGCCCCTGTAAAGCATCATATTAGGATTTTTAAAGTAACTTGGTTCCTAGACTTATTCTTTAAAATGGCATTTGTTAAAACATCTGAAGATGGTGAAACATTAACTTCTCACTCTTACCTCTTGTCTTAAGCTGGCCCCGTGCATCAGAGAGAGGATGCCACGTGCTCCAGACACATAGTGTATGGTCTCTGAGTGACAGTCATTGAGATTTTGCAAAAATTCTTGAAGTCTAGGAATTTCTATGGAGGCAAAATTAGTCAATTTCTGGTTCTACTTTATTCTAATTTAAAAAGGTGCATCAGTGATATGGACAAAACATACCAGTGTTTTCCGGACTTAGATGTTTGTTTGTGAAGAATTCTTTGGAGCTCACTGTGAACACTTTGATAGAGTCATAGCTGAAGTGTTTCTAAGCAGGGTTCATATATTTTATTACATGTAATTATTAATTCGGATTTTATCTGTAGAAAAAAATGCGCTATATATTGTAATGGAATTCAGAACTCACCTTAATCTTGGTCAGTTTGTTTAACTCTTCGATCACCCCATCTTTTGCTGCCTTGTTTCTTTTAAGGATTAAAGACTGAACATCAGCTATAGAGCTAAAAGAAAAGAAAATATCAATTGAGACTTAAGATACCTTCATGTCTGCAGGCAATAAAAGAGAACATGCAAGTAAAGTAGATGAACCATCTTTGGCATTTCTCAAAGTTTATTTAGCAATACACAGAATAGTGGTAAACTTACTTATCATATGAATGGCTAATATCATCAGATTTGGTGCAGATTATGTGAATGTGTTGACATTCTCCACCATTTCCAATTAGATTGCAGACATTTTTTAGGATTTCCCAGGATTCCTTGTCTGCAGCTGCTCTGTTGATTTCAGTAACAACCCAGACAGCTGAACAGTTTCCAATAATCTAAAAACAAGTAATATATANTATATGTATGTATGTAAATATATATATATATATTAGATTTCAGGTATTAATAAAATAATACATAACAAAAGGAAATTAATAAAGTAAATTACCTCTTTCCACATGGTGTCTCTGCTCTTATTACGGTCACCATTGCCGGGAAGGTCGACAAGTGTGACATTCTGTAGGAAATTATTCCTTGGTACCCTAACAGTGACACTCTTCACAATTGGCCAATACCACTTCTTTATGCTTTTATTTCTTCCTTTTATTGAGGCATTTCTGGTATACTTGGTAATATAGTCAGATAGGTCTCTCGCCTGCAAAAACATGATACTAATTATTAAATTGCGCTAGCAGTAAAAACACTGACATTTTGAGGTTATTTTGATAGTTATGTGCCTTTTTAATGATATTGTAAAAATGAAAGAAGAACCAGATCTACTTAATTAAGCTGAAATTCTAATTAGGTATCCCCCTCAGAAATTTGTCTTTGTTTCTATTCCTCCAGTACTTCAACTGCTAAAAAAAGGATCAAAACCAAGTGTGATTATTGTACATCTTTTTTGTTAGGTTCCATTTAAACCTAGCCAAAGAAAAAAGTGGTTAATGTTCTATTTTGATTTTATAGACAGGGTCACTTTCTTATGAAAACCTGTCTTATGAAAAATGTTTCAAGGCCTTAAAAAAACACCCCTGACAAGGAAAATGTCCTGAATTAGATCCAGAGAATCTAATCAGAAATTTGACTTACAGTTTAGGGACTTGTTTTGGATGTGATCAACCATTAAATGGATGTTATTATCCATTGTAAGTCCCATAGAATGCCTTCAGACTGTGCCTCCTCTACTGTCTGGTAGGTTTCTTATGGCTAAGACTATGCAATATATAGTTCATAGCAGCAGCTTTGGTCACCCCTAAAGCCATTACAATTGACCGACTTTTATTGTTATCTACTTTATTTACAAAACACCAGCTGGTTGTAAATACCTCAGTTTTAAATTGAAAGATATTTAAGAACTACTTTTTATTCAGTGATAACATCCTACTGACCCCATTAGTATGTAGGAGCCATAATTTGGAGCATTTTTATTGGACAGCAAACTATTAAAAATGGCCCTTTAATGGGATGATAACATCCAAATCAGATGGTTTATGAAAATGATTCAGATTCAAAAATAAGCATACACATTACTGTATCACACTAGTATAAAAAGATACTGTTAACATTATCTTTGTGTCTTACTGTTGCAAAGCCCAAAGTTTTCTGTTTTAAAAGAAGAAATTCTGGGATTTCTTTGAAGTACTTGGGCTCCATCAGCTGTTCAGGGGATTTTTCTCTCCATTCTTCCTCATACAGAGCGGTCAGCTTATCAACTGCATCATGGTAATCATCATCATCATTGTCATCATCGTCATGGTTTTCTTGAATACCATTATCAACCATACAACGCAATAACCCCAACTCATCTTCCCACTCCTAAAAATTTAAACATACGCAATGTGTAAAATTATAGGAAGTTGATTTTCAGATCACATTTTGAAAAATATTTTCTTGGATTACCTCTGGTGTGATGAATTCAATCACTAACTCATATTTTTCATTGTATCTGTTAGACTCCACTTTAATCATGACTGATGTACAGGCATCAACACTTCCAGAGGGTAAAAGCATCTTCTCTTCTATGACAGCGTTTATCAAAGAGGACTTTCCAGCTCCAGTTTTACCAAAGACGCCCACCAACTCCTTCTTCTCTGTCTCCAGGTTTTTTATTTTATTCCTTTAAAATGTATCAGTTATTGGTTACCATAACATTTATGTCAAATCATATTTGATAATTTTAAGTAGTTTAATAATGGCTTTATGCCTTTAAATTTAGAATATGTAAAAATGCATGCAAAATGGTAACATATTATCAATAATCCTGGTTAGGAATAAATCAAGTCAATACTTTCAAACAGAAAATCGACTTACTTCAAAAATGTGCTGAGCCTTGTGTCATCTTGATCGTACAGTTTGGCTGCAATACTCCCAATTGTGTTTTTCACATGATTCAATATCACTGCTTCTTTTTCTACAATTAAAAAATATGAATAAAATAACATAAATAATAAATAAATACCTAAATAAAATAAGTTTTCCAGTATGGTACACAAAACCTTCATGTGTTAATCGAAACTATAGTCACAGTTGTATCCACATGAAAACAATTGACTTTTATTCTTTAAAAAAACATGTTTGAAATCTTAAATTGGATATTTTATTTACTAAAGACAAATGAATATGCGTCAAAGCCTTTTCTCTGGTAAAACAGATCTCTTCAGCATAAAGCTGCTTCCATTTGCCTGTTAGCAGATTATGTGTAAACATGTCTTATTTATCATAATTGAATGAACTGCACTGCATAATTATGACTGAAATAATACAGAAGATCATGGATAAATACATGTAATTGTGTTTTAGCTTGAGCGTGTCCTTTTTGGTGCTCTTGTATGACTATGATGCTTAGGTTTCGCTTCTTTTATTTCCATTTTTCTTTGATGTATAATTTCAATAATAACAGCAAACCTCCACGGCTTTAACACATCCTGTAATAATATATTTAGGTACATCTCATGTAGACATATGTATGTCAACTTGAGGGTTCTCTGTACTCTTTGTATTCATATTTAAATTACATGTTTTATTCTGTTGGTGAGTGCAATAGATTTTGGGGGTATTTTTAAATTGGGTTGGTATGTTGATAAAATTAGTAGTAGTAACATACTGTTACATTAGCATCATTTCTGCTAGAAAGTACCAATTTCACAACTATTATTAATTTAAAATTTCATCATTCCTTCACTAGTCCTACAATAGAACATCTTCAGGAAAAGCTGGGCTGTGTTTTAAGTACTAATCATATTTATTTTTTGCACCAAAGTTTATTAAAAAAAATTACCTGTTGACCGTTTTGTCCCACACGGCCTTTTTACAGCTGGTTCTCCTTGGTTAGACTCACACCATGGGTCATGTTTACGCTTTCCTAGTTTTAAAATATAAAAATGAAGAAGCCTTAGTTTCTCATTTGCTTTAAATTTATAAAGGCAATGGAAAGGAATGGCCTTGACTCTGTATTTGTAATTCTTACCTGTATCGCTTGTAGATGGCATGATCTGGGATTAAAAGAAAAGTTAGACAATATTCACAAATGTTTTTCTATCACCTAAAATGTAGAAAAATAGGTTTTTATCAATCTTCCGTGTTCACAATGAACTAAAGGAAACAACGTTGACATGAACGAGATGTAAACTGGATGACAACAGATGTCCCGACAATAAGCAAACAAAAAAATCCTGACTTAAGTAAATCAAGAAGCAAATGAGAACAGGAGAGTTCCATTAACTGAAACGCAAACAGTTGTGGTTCTTGACAATAATATATTCATGATTTCATGCTTTGTGATATCAAAGATAAATCTGAGGACAAGCAGTGACCCATCAAGAATGGCATCACCCTTTGTTTTTATAAGAATAATATTAAGTTAAACATTTCTTAAAGCTGCATCTCAGAAAAGTTAAGTCATTTAAAGCAGGAGTGTACAAAATAAGTCCTTGCGGGTTGGTATCCTGCGCACCTGATTTCTATTGATGTTTGATTAACAGGCTTTTATTGAGCTACAATCATCTAAATCTGTTTATTTTGGAGCAGGGTTAACTGTCTGTAACACCCTTGCTGTAAAGGCAATGCTTGGCAAGTTTATTTATTTCAAATCTTTTTTTAATGTGAGAAACATTTCAAAATATTATATATTTATACACATTCAGAGTTTTTCTATTTTAAGTAGGAGATAACAACACAAACAATAACCCACACACAAGAACAAATACCAAAGCCCAGCCCATTTGTATAGCATATTTTCTTACCTCAGATGTACTAGCAGCTTCTTCTGCCCTCTGTTGACCCTGCAAATACATTACTCCTTTACAAAGCTTCCAACTTAAAACTAAAAATAAAAAAGATTTTAGACTATTTAACCCAATATAAGAATACATTGTATATGAATTGTATAGGAACATTATTTATCATGTGGTTGGGATTTTATTCCTCCTTGTAAAATATGTTTTTGCAGACCCAAAACAACTTAGTTTATCCCTCATATTTTGTGGATATTGTTTTTGTGTCTTCATTGTTATTACTATTATTAACAATTATGATAGCATACTAATAANGGGCAGATGTAGAGACAACAGCCTGATCCTGAAGATGGAGAAGACGAAGGAGATCATTGCCAACTTCAGAAAGAACTGGCCCAGCCATATTCCACTGCTCATCGAAAGCTCAGCTGTAGAGGTGGTCAGCAGTACCAAGTCCTGGGGTGCACATCACATTCAACCTCACCTAGACTGTTTACACCACCTCACTGGTCAAGAGGGCACAGAAGCACTTGTACTTCCTGTGGAGGATGAGGAAAGCCCACCTGCCCCCGCCCATCCTTATACAGAAGCACCATAGAGAGCATTCTAAGCAGCTGTCTCACTGTGTGGTGTGGAGACTGCAGCACCTCAGACTGGAAAAATGTGAGAAGAGTGGTGAGAACAGCAGAGAAGATCATGGAGGCTCCTCTGCCCTCCATTAAAGACATTTTACCCCAGCGCTGCATGTCCCGAGCCTGTAACAGCGACCCCTCACACCCCCACCTTGGGCTGTTCTCCCTGCTGCCCTCTGGGAAGAGGCTTCACAGCATTCAATGCAGGATCAGCAGGTTCTGCAACAGCTTTTTCCCTGCTGCCATCAGACCGTTGAACTGTTGAAACTCTACTCAAAATACCAATCAAGACTCCCACTTGTGGTGTGGAGACTGCAGCACCTCAGACTGGAAGAATGTGAGAAGAGTGGTGAGAACAGCAGAGAGGATCATGGAGGCTCCTCTGCCCTCCATTAAAGACATTTTACCCCAGCGCTGCGTGTCCCGAGCCTGTAACACCATCAGCGACGCCTCACACCCCCACCATGGGCTGTTCTCCCTGCTGCCCTCTGGGAAGAGGCTTCACAGCATTCAATGCAGGAACAGCAGGTTCTGCAACTAATCAAGACTCCCACTTGTACACATCATATTTCCACTACATGGCTGATTTTCTTTTATATAATCCCTTTATATAGAACTGAACTCAATGTTTCTACTGCATTTTGCACCATGTCTTTAAAGTCTGTCTGTGGTAAATTCAGTTGACCGGACTCAATTTGAACAAACAATCAAAGTTGAAACCAGAATACAATTTTGTGCTGTGAAATCCTAGTGTCATGTTTTGAGAAAAAAACATACACTAGTTATAACCTGACTAGTATCATCCTTTCGAGGTAGAGCACTCTGGACCTCACAGTAAGTTGTAACTCAACTTTCAACAAATATGATTAACAGCAGACAAGCAGAGCAACAAAAGGATATTTCCATTAGCAATCTTTGAGGGAACATTCTCACACCACGCTTAAGGCACATATCATGCAAAATCAACTTTTTTGAGCTTTTAACTATGTAATAATGCTTTTCTTTCATCATGCATGGTTATGAAACCTTACCAAAAAATTTTTATAATATCTTGCAGAAGAGCTGTAATGTTGTAGATGCTTGTTAAAGTAGCGATGCATTGGTAGCGATAATTGGTTAACA